TGGCAGGGTTGATTGCTGGTGAGGACTCTCTTCCTGGTCTATAAATGGCCACCTTCTCACTGTGTACTCACATGGCAGAGACAGCAAGCAAGATCTGGTGCCTCTTATCAGGACACTAATCCTATTGGATCAGGGCCCCTCCCTTATGACCTCATTTAACCTTAGTTACTTCCATAGAGGGCCTATCTCCAAATAGTCACATTAGGGGTTAGGGCTTCAACATAGTGAATTTTGAGTGGACACAATTTGATCCATATCACTCAGGAAGGCAGGCTATCTGGTGAGGCAATGTTTTGACCAGCAGAGGCTAGCCCTTAACCCTTCTAAGCAAGGATCACCTCCAGTTCCCCTGGCCCTCCAAATCTAACATCTCTCACCTTGCATAATCCTTCCAACCTTCCCCTTTTCCCTGCTTGTGCCCATCCAGCACCATCTCTCCCAGTCCCTGCCTAAGCCTCTGAAGGTGACAGTAGCCTAACCTAAGGATTGTGGGAATTTAAGGAGGCAATCCCCAGAGTGCTTTCACCAATGCCTGGCACACAAAGAGCACTCAATAAAGGTTAGCTCTGTACCAACAGGTTTGAAGGTCCAGGAGGTCAGACCCACAGCACCTTTGCACTCCTGGAGTTCAGGGGCCTTGCAGCAGGGCTCGCTGGAGTCAGAGCCTCCACCACAGCTATCTCTCCCAGTTATAACTGGTGACCCACAGATTCCTAACGGTTGCTGAGAGGTCTTGCAAGGAGTCTTTGAATCTGGGTGTGTACCCCAAGCCCTCTCTGAACAAAAATCACATCTCACACATGTATGTATGACCGGCTTCCTACTATGTTGAAGGTAATGTGAGCATTAAAGATGAATCAGTTTAGAAGAGCTACAGAACTCAGAATTCAGAGCTAAATTTTGGCCATTGCCTATGTGTGTTTCCTCAACCAATTACACTAAAAGTTCATGGGGGGAAATGGTTTTGTGATATGGATTTAATCCAACCCACAAATGTTTATTCAGTGTCTACTGTGTGCTAGGGACCCAGTGCGGAATGAGGTCGTCATTCTCCCTGCTTCCCAGTGTAATAGGAGGCTGTGTTCTCATAAAGGCAGGAACCCTTGGTCTAAGGGTTCAGTCCAGGGCTCTTGCTTCAGTTCCAGGCAGCTTCCTCTGGTTTCAAAGACTGCCAAGGGCCAGGCCTGGGTCCCCAGTGTCCCCTGCTCCCTGGTCTCTTCTCAGAGCCATGCACACGAAGACATGAACCTAGAAGCCCAGAACTCGTGAAATCCAGCCTCCCTTGCCCTGAGGCAGAACTCCACATGATCTCTGAGAGGACATCCAGCCTTGGCCTGCATGCCTCCAGAGACGGCATGCTCTCTATTTCAGCAAGGAAAACTGCTAATATTTACAAAGTCATTAATATATTTTAATATGTTTCACCCTGAGCTAGCAGAGGCAGCATCTTCACCATCCATGGTGCCCCCTGATTTGTCTCACCAAAGGGAGAAGAATCAGGGTCTTTGTTCTGGGCACGGATTGCTGCCCCCTCTCCCCCCTTGTGCCCATGGACTCAGCATCAGGAAATTGGGTTCTGGTTTGAGGCAAGATGGGCATGACTTTCTCAAGCCAATGCACTAGCTTGATGGGGGAAGGGTGATTTATAGAGCCAGCGCCTGTCCCCATAGCAGGAAAAGGCTCACGGACAGAATATGCTCTGGAAAAGGAAGAGGAGGGGGGTCTGTCTGTGATCATTCAGCCCCGAAACGATGCTCATGATGTTGGCTTTCCAGGCCATTAATTCAAGGGCTCCATGCCCCACCCCCATGGTGCTGCCTGCTCTGGGAGATAAGCCCAGTTCTATTTAACCCTATTTATTCCCCCAAAGTGTCCTCCATCTCTGCTAGCCAGGTGTTTAACCCTTTGGCTACTGAAGGCATCAAAAATAGAGAGAATAATCTCATTTGGAAGAGGGACACCCGCCGCCCCCCAGCCCTGGTCCAGGTGGCAGGACCAATCCAGAATACAGGTTTAGCTTCATGGGACTTGGCAGGAGTCCTGGGAGTCCTTCACTGCTCCCTCTCAGGCAGCCCAGGTCCCCCAAGAGGGTGGGACTTTGTGTGGTTCTGGGAGGAGAACCCCCATCCCCACACCCAGGACAGGCAGCAGGGGCAGCTCCTGCCTCCTCACCCGCCATCCACATTATCTTAGTCACAGATCTGGGTTCTGACATCGGCCAAGTGGAAGGCTGTGGCAACTCTGTCTCTTTTGTGCCCCCCAGCTGCTGTCTCTGTCTAGCACGTCCTGCTCTGTCTCCCTGCTGCCTCTTCTAGCACGTTCCTTTTTATGTCTCCTCTGCCCCTTTCCTCTCTTTGTTCTCTCCTCTTTTCCCTTTCGTGATCACATAGGGGTATTCTTGCTTTTGTGGGTGCCTGATGATTGGTCTCACTGTGAATCTGTGTGTGTGTGTGTGTGTGTGTGTGTGTGTGTTCCTGTGTCTGGGTGTCTGTCAGTGTGTATGTGCTGGCCTGTCTCTGACCTATGTGTGTTGCTCTGTTAGGCTGTGTGAATCTGCTAATATACTTGAATCTGTGTGTTGGTCCTCATTTCTTTGTGCATCTGTCAACTGGCTTGTCATTAGCTGTGTGTGAGTGGATGTGTGTATGCGCATGTTGTGTTTCAACTCAGGGGGTCAAGCAGCTGCAAATTCCTCTCCTGAGGGTGCCCCTAGAGGAGCAAGGAGGAGAATTCAGAAGTCGATGGCTTCACTAGAGCACAGCCCAGCTTAATACCAGATAGACAGGTGGTCCTGGTCGTCTCCTGGGGCTGCCTGCCAGGCCCCCTGCCCTCTGCGTTCCTCCTGCCCTTCATTCTTTTCCCTTCAGGTCAGTCCAGGACTGGAAGGGGTGAGGACAGAGAGGTGTGGCAAAGCCAGAGGGTGTGCATTCAACTCACTTCGACTCTCAGCCCCAATCACAGGCTTTTTCTCGTACACTCACTTTCCCCCAAACAATGAGAAATGGCCATTGGGTTATAGCGACAACAACAATGATAATAAAATAATTGCTACCATGTATTGGGACCCTTAGCACATGCCAAGAATTTTATATACCCAATCTCGTTGAATCCCCTCAAGAACTCCAGGGGTCTGTTGTTATTTTCACATTTTAGTGATGAGGAAATGGAAGCTGGGACATGTTAAGTGAGTCGCCCAATGTCACACAGCTAGTACGTGATGGGGCAGGATTTTCCAAGATGAGGTCATGGAGGGGAAGGTGCACTGGAGGAGCATCAGGGTTCCTTCGTCCTAGCCCAGCTCTGCCCTGGACTCTGCATGACCTTGCGCAGGACACCTTCCCGCTGGGCCTGGGTTTGCTTCTCTGTACAATGAGAATGAAAGTGAGGCTCTGTTGGGATGTTTTAGGGATGGTTTAAGCATTGCAGAGAGGGTGACTGGCCTGAGTGCTCTCTGGGGTCCCCACCTGCAGTCCCAAGAATTGGGGTGAGAAGCAGAAACAGGGACCGTGCTTGTGCCATCTTCAGCCAAAAGAGAGTCACACACAGAATAAGCTTTGAGAAATTTTGCTGAATGAATGAATAAATGAGTGAATGAATGACCTCATTTCTCAATACTGCAAGAACTTCACAGCCCACCTTGGGTCCTACAACAGTGAACATCAGTAGGGAAAAGGAAAGACAGGATAAGCACCCCGGACCCTCATAAAATCCACACACAAATTGGCAATGACCAACTGATACATATGTGTTATTGATTCACTTGTCAAAGAAGGCATCAATGACCATCTTCAGGTCTGGGTATGTACGGGGTGGAAGGGAGCCCTAGGGAACTCTTGTCTCTGCCCAGATTATCTCCTGTGCAACTAAAGAATTTCACCAAGAATAGAAGGGGAGGGATGAGAATTAGGAGATAGAGATCTTTGTCTATAGAAATCTGTAGGGAAAAGGCTCTCTCTCCCTAGCACCTGGGGTTTGTGGTGGGGAGGGTCTGTCTCTAGGGCAAATCTCTGGGCTGGGAGATCAGTTAATTTTTTTTTGTTTTGTTTTTTCAAAGCCTCTTTGGAGGAGTGAATCTCTGTGTTTGGGGGAAGGATCTCTGTCCTGTCTTTGTTCTGAGTCCTATCATGATTTGGAGGGTCCGTGTCTGGGAGAAGGCTCTATGGAGAGGTTTTCTTGTCATAGTGGTGGTGGGGAATGCTTCACGCTAGGGCAGAGGGTTTCTGTTTTCTGCCAGGCAGGCTCTTGGGGGAATTTAAGGGGGGTACCTGGGAGTGATTACTAGCATCTCTACCCAATGTGGTGGAGGTTCCGTATCCGGAGAGGAGATTCTCAGAGACCGTGAGGTGCTGGTGGTGTGGGCAGGGAGGGTTAGGAGGTAGAGGGGAAGCCTGTCTTCTCCTGGCAGCTCCAACGCGATGGTCAAAGCCCTCAGGCCGTCCTACTTGTGCGCTGACCTGAGCTAATCTAGAAATACAGCAGGGGAGGAGGAGACTGGGGTTCTCAGAGAGACTGGGTCTTGGGAAGGGGGTCACTGGGAGCCCCTTTCTTTTCGTTTCCTTCAGATTCTCCCCATCCCGCCCCCAGTCACAACCACTAGTCCTCCTGTACCTAGGCTGGGACGGCCAGGTCGCTGACACTGCTGTTTAGTGCCTAAGAGCCCGGGGCAGGAGCCCAGCTGGGAACACACCGAGCCGCGGACCCGCACAGAGACACAACTACAAAAGGACTCCTACAGGCAAAACCGCAAGCAACCCATTCAGGAATACATATACACATACAACCCAGCACACAAGCTCTGCGCACACACAGGCTCAAATGCGCGCAGAACTATGCACTTACAGAATAAACATGGTTACCAAATCTCACCCTCGGAGTCCGCTCAGCTCCAGCCCGTAGCAATACCTGGTACAGTGTCGGTCTTTGTCTCTGGGTCTTTCTCCTGCTCTCAAGCTACACGCAACCCACTCAACAGAAACAGCCTAGGTTTGCACAGCCCCCGGCAGCCGCCGGGCTAGCAGGGCCGGGGCGCACAGCGCGCCTCCCCACCCTGGGCCCGCCGCAAGCCCTTCCTTCCTCTGTGCCAGGCACCAGCTGCGCCCCTCCGCGGCGCGGGCACTCGCAGACCCGCCTCGAGGCTGTTGACAGGTGCCTTCAGTCCTTCCTCCTTCCAGACCCCCAAAGGAAAAGAAAGCGAACAGCCAACCTCTCGCCCTCATTATGCACACGTTTGGAGAACGGTTGGTGGCGAACAACCCGCAGAATCACTTCCATCTCGTCGTCCCTGGACGGGAGGAGACAGTCCCAGTGACCGAGGCCGGAGCTAAGCCTTCTTGAGAGCGTTCCTCCACTTCTGCCGATCACTTCTGCCTTCAAGGGGGGCTCGCGACCAGGTTGAAGTGCTGGTGATGGGTGCCAGGGAGACAGAGCGATGCCCAGACGGCCTGGGCCGCCGGAGACAGGTAACTGTCCTGCTGCCTTTCCAGGCGTCTAGGCCAGTCCTTGGCCAGAGGATCTGGGGCTGAAAGGCTCGCGAACTCTGGAGGGGGTAGCCAGGGACAGGGGACCAAGAGGATCTGCCCGCTCAGGCCCCCTCCCTCCCTGCGGCGGCGAGGTGGGAAGGGCCAGGATCGGAGTTTAGCACCTCCTCCAGAAATGCAGCACTCCGGCCCCCACCCCGCCCTCCACACCCCTCCTTCACGCGCTCCCTCCTGCTCCCTTCCGTGGGCGCCCTTCTCCTGTCCGCATCTCGGTTCTCCGGAGTCCCTTGGTGCCCCCTTTCTCTTCTCCTTGCCCTCTCCTCACTCCTCTTACCTCCTGGAGTTTCTCCCTCTCCAGCCCCTCCGCCCCCGCCAGATTCTGAGGGGCGGGAGCGCTTTGGGCTGCGCGCGGTTGGGGGCGCCGCGCCAGCTTCGCGTAGATGCTCTGACGCCGCCGCCGCCGCCACCGCCGCCCTCCGCAGCCCAGCCCGCGCCCCGCTGCAGCTCCGCAGTGCACTCGCCACCGCCGCTCCGCCAGCCCCGCTGCCCGCCCTCCGGGTCGGCCTTGAGCGAGCCTCAGACGCCAGCCGAGGGGGTCATGAGCCAGAGCGCCCCGGGGCGCCGCGGGGAAAGCGAGCGAAGATAGCGGTCTCGCGCCCCCGTGGCCCTCACCGCCTTGCCGTGCGTCCCCCGCGTCCCCAGACCCTTCCGTCCTTTTCTCGGGCCCCGCTGCCGCCATGGCCACCCTGCTCCGCAGCAAGCTGTCCAACGTGGCCACGTCCGTATCCAACAAGTCCCAGGCCAAGGTGAGCGGCATGTTCGCCAGGATGGGTTTTCAGGCGGCCACCGACGAGGAGGCGGTGGGCTTCGCGCACTGCGACGACCTCGACTTTGAGCACCGTCAGGGCCTGCAGATGGACATCCTGAAAACCGAGGGCGAGCCCTGCGGGGACGAGGGCGCTGAACCGCCCGTCGAGGGAGACATCCATTACCAGCGAGGCGGCGGCGCGCCCCTGCCGCCCTCGGGCTCCAAGGACCAGTCCCTGGGAGCTGGTGGCGAGTTCGGGGGCCACGACAAGCCCAAGATCACGGCGTGGGAGGCGGGCTGGAACGTGACCAACGCTATCCAGGTGAGCGCGGGATTCCCAGCTCTGCCTCTCTCCCCGCCCCACCCCCCCCAGATCTGCGCACCAGGCTCTACTCGCAGTAGAGTCCCCTGGAGATCTCAGCCTCAAGACCCCTTCCTGTACCAGGAATCTCGCCTGCCCCCATCCCTTCCAGCCCTGCGCGGGGATCTACGTCCCCAGGTGGTGTCTCCCCACTCCCCATCCGGCCCCCTCCCTCATCCCCGGCCGCCGGACAGCTAGGCTGAGGTTCGGTTAGAGACGCTTTCCCGGAGACCCTGCCGAAGCGAGGAAAACAGGAGGAGGGGGAGTGGGGAGGGGTGAGGGAGAAAGAAAATCAGGATTGGAGGGAACAGTATGGCCTGGGACTCCGGAATGGATTCACAGCTGCATTTTCGGCATAAAAGGAGAGGGGGAAAGATCTGAGCTGGGAGTCTCCTCCCCCGACACACAAGACACACACGCATAGACAGCGCGCATGCACATAGGCAGGCACACATGCCCACAGCCCCCCTCCCCCGAAGAAACGCCGGTCACAGGTGCACACAACATACATCTATATATAGACCACAGAATTATCCTCAAATGCACCTTCATACACCCCTACACCTCCCCCCCACAGAAACACATACCCGTACATACCGAGGGCACACACATAAACCCATCTGAACATAACACATGCACACATGCACAAACTCACGCATACAGGATCCACCCGCTCTCAGGTGCAGCCCTGTCGGGGACAAACAGGTATACAAAAACATGCACACACACACACACATACGTATGACCACACAAGCACAATATGGTCCCTGGTACCTCAGCGCTACCTGCGCACAGACACCCCTCTCGCTCGAAATCCCGGCTACACCGCAAAAAGCTCCTCTGCGTGTGACCCTGGAGAAGCCGCCTCCAGATGCTCTGAACCGCCTCTGGTCTCCAGGCCCGCCACCCCGTCACCCCTACTCTCAACCCTCAGTCCCCACCAGGCGGCGCCGGACTCCACCGGGAGCGGGTTTGGAACCTGCACAACGACCCCGGGAGCTGGAGAAGGCGAGCAGGCCGCAGCTCGAGGGGCAGAGAGGGCCTCCGCCCCACGCGTCCCCGGGCCCTGCGGCTTGCCTCCCATCTCCCACCCTCGGCGTCCCCGGAGCGCACAGGTCGTTGGGGCGCAGAACGTGGGTTTCCCGGGAGCTGGAGGCCGAGATGGGGTTGTCCCGGGACCCGGGCTCCGCGGGGCTCTTCGGGGCCCTGCTCAGTAAGTGACCCGACCCGAGGCGCCTTCCGCTCCAGGGCCGGGCCGGACGGCCAAGCGCAACCAGGGACCGGGGGCACGCACCAGCTTCGGTTGCCGCCCCCGCCTTCACCTGGGGCATCTTTAAAGGCCCCGTTCCGTAGGTCTTGATGGAGGCCAGGGTGGAAGGCTGGAGGCCTGCAAGCCTCGGTAACCCTGGATTTCGTTAGCTTTGCTTCCCTATGTGGATTCTGAACCCTTCTTCCACAGCTCTGCCCGCCCGTTCCCACAGGTTCTGGGTATTGCCTCCCGCTTGGGTTCGCCGTTCACAAAGCGCTTGCGCTTTCCCCGTAGGCCCCTAATCCTGTTCGCCTCTACCACTTAGTCCCCTTCCTTAGGGATCGGTCTCTCCGCCCCAGTTTCGGCCTGGCCCTAAGGCTGTCCAACCCTGTCTCCCCGTCCCCACGCCTCTGGCCTCACCCCACCCAAAGCCCTTCGCCAGCAAACCCCACGTTCCCACTGGTCTTGCCTCCCTGCCGCTTGCCCCACGCTCAGCCCCCCTTCCTCCCTACCCCGTCTCCTTTCTCTCCCGCTGCTGCTTTCAACGGTTTCCCTCTCCATTTCGACCCTTAGGCACCTGCGTTCCCCTCATTGGCTTCCTTGCACCCCATTCCAGCCCCACCTTAGACTCTGCATCCCCTTTTCCTAGCGGCTCAGGCCCAGCTCTCTACCTTTCTCCTCGTCCTTTTCCGGTCAACCCCCTCCAGCCCCTTCTCATCTTTTTCCGAACCACCCCCAGGTATCTCCTCGTACCCCTTCCCTCTTTGCGGCTTGACCCCTTACTCAGCCCCCTCCCTACCTCCCAGCCATTAAGCACACCTCTCCTTCTCAGTTCCATCCTTAAACACCCCCTTCTCCACCTCTGACTCAATACCCGGGCTCCCCATTAGACCGCTCTACACCTCCACTCCAGCCTATCCTTACCCTCTCCTCCCAGTAGCTTAGGCCCAGTTCACACTTAGCGCCCCCTTCCGGCTACACCCTTAAGTCACTCCCCCAGACGCCGTATTCCGATACAGCATCCACTGAGCTCCCGGGTCTGGTTGTCTTTTCGTTCCGCAGGGCATGTTCGTGCTGGGCCTGCCCTACGCCATCCTGCACGGCGGCTACCTGGGATTGTTCCTCATCATCTTCGCCGCCGTGGTGTGCTGCTACACTGGCAAGATCCTCATCGCATGCCTGTACGAGGAGAACGAGGACGGCGAGGTGGTACGCGTGCGGGACTCGTATGTGGCCATCGCCAACGCTTGCTGCGCTCCGCGCTTCCCCACGCTGGGCGGCCGCGTAGTGAACGTGGCGCAGATCATCGAGCTGGTGATGACTTGCATCCTGTACGTGGTGGTGAGCGGCAACCTCATGTACAACAGCTTCCCAGGGCTGCCCGTGTCGCAGAAGTCCTGGTCCATCATCGCCACGGCGGCGCTGCTGCCCTGCGCCTTCCTTAAGAACCTCAAGGCCGTGTCCAGGTTCAGCCTGCTGTGCACTTTGGCCCACTTCGTCATCAACATTCTGGTCATTGCCTACTGCTTATCGAGGGCGCGCGATTGGGCCTGGGAGAAGGTCAAGTTCTATATCGACGTCAAGAAGTTTCCCATCTCCATTGGCATCATCGTGTTCAGCTACACGTCGCAGATCTTCCTGCCTTCGCTGGAGGGCAACATGCAGCAGCCCAGCGAGTTCCACTGCATGATGAACTGGACGCACATCGCCGCCTGCGTGCTCAAAGGCCTCTTCGCGCTCGTCGCCTACCTCACCTGGGCCGATGAGACCAAGGAGGTCATCACGGATAACCTGCCCGGTTCCATCCGCGCCGTGGTCAACATCTTCCTGGTGGCCAAGGCCCTGTTGTCCTACCCATTGCCCTTCTTCGCTGCTGTCGAGGTGCTGGAGAAGTCGCTCTTCCAGGAAGGCAGCCGCGCCTTCTTTCCCGCCTGCTACGGCGGCGACGGGCGCCTCAAGTCGTGGGGCCTGACGCTGCGCTGCGCGCTGGTCGTCTTCACGCTGCTCATGGCCATCTACGTGCCGCACTTCGCGTTGCTTATGGGCCTCACCGGCAGCCTCACGGGCGCCGGCCTCTGCTTCCTGCTGCCCAGCCTCTTCCACCTGCGCCTGCTCTGGCGCAAGCTGCTGTGGCACCAGGTCTTCTTCGACGTCGCCATCTTCGTCATCGGCGGCATCTGCAGCGTGTCCGGCTTCGTGCACTCGCTGGAGGGCCTCATTGAGGCCTACCGAACCAACGCGGAGGACTAGGGCGCTAGGGCCAGCCCCGGCCACCCTCCCGCGCTCTCCCCGCTGCCCACCCACCCCTCCCCCAACAAACCCGTGCGCCCTGCAGCCGCGCTTGGGAAGCCAAGCTTTAAACATCTCTGGCTCCCCGTTTCTGATTTTGGGGGTTGGGGGCGGGAGGGGATAGGGATCCACAATCCATTGCGTCTGCGTTTCTGTTGTCCTTTCTTTTCCACAACACCCTGGTTTCGGGGGAGGCGGCGGCGCATCTGTGGGCAGGGTTTTCTGTCCTTCCAGGAGGGGCCCCGACACTTTGGTCCCTGTCACCGAGGGGGGGGGAAGGGAGGGAGAGGGGGCGCAACTCGCAGGCGCAGAAACTTGACCTTGTGGGCACATTTCACAGCCATCAGTGCTTGGAATCTGCAGAGTCTAGCCATTTCCAGCAAGAACGATTCCCATTCCGGAGACATTTCAACCCTTCAGCGGGAAAGGCTGGCCGGGAAATCCGTTTCGGGTGGGCGATTTCCTTCGCCGAAGCGGGGAAGCGAGAAGCCCCGGCGGGGCCGGCTTGCTTGCCGGTTTTCAGGAATCCAGACTCATCTTGTGCAATTTATCAGGTTGTGGAGCTGCTCTACTGTGCGTGTGGTGTGCTCGTGGTGAATAAGATGAAATGTGTATCAGAAAAAAATCTTTCTCTAATTTAGAGTGCGGTGCATAATTATATCCGCAAATAAAGAAGAAACAAAGGCACTCGCGGCCCTGTCTCAGTTCTGCATTTTCGCACCCGCGGGAATCCTGGCGCTGGGTGGCGAGGGAACCAGCCCTGGCCCACCCCGTGAAGCAAGTGGGGAAGGAGAAGCAGCTGTAGTTAAAGAGTCCCTGGAGAGCTCCGGGGAGAGTGAGGGGTGCTCAGCACCAAGGGGAGGCTTTCTGAGTACTTGGGGGACTCAGGCAAAGGAGCACGTGGTGGTGCGCCCACGGTTTCGGTGTGGCCTTGGCTCCCCAGCCGCCAGGACTAGGCTTCCCCCCACCCCCAAACCTTTCCCCGGGGGTTGGATCCATCTGAGAATTTGGTGGACACTCTCGAACTCCAATCCTAAAATAAAGAGGAAGAAAAAGTTTTGCTTATGTACAAAAGCCCTACAGAGTTGTTCAACAAATATTTATAGACAGCCCACCAAGTCTGGGACCGTGCAGGCTGCCAAACTCAGCCCTGCCCTCCTGGAGCTTACAGTCTAGCAGAGGAGAGACAGGCAATAGATTGGGACTCTGAAATCCACAGTATGACTGCCAGCTGTGAAGAGAGCTACAAAGGAAGTCAGCAGGGCCGTTGTGTATTTCCCAGGGTTTGCCAACCTAGCATCCCAGGCACCTCTCACCCTGGAGAACCCCCCTCAAGTCCAAGGTGGGGTTTACATAGCCACAGTGAAGAGATCTGGCTGTTTAGATTCACCAGGCAGAGCCGTTTATGTCCCAGCCTCCCCTTTTCTTGAGCAGCCTGTTTGAGAATGTGTTTGCTTAAATTACCCAGAGGACCCTGTCCTTTTTTATGCAGATCCTACTGCAAGGGCAGCCCTCCTGTTGCTTCCAGGGGCGCCAGTCCTGGGTGCATTGGTATGGATCATGGTCAGACTCTCCAGATGGAATCTGGGAGCTCAGGAAGGCTAGGCCATTCTCAGCGGGAGAGAAGCCACGATGGGAGGTTCTTGATCTCTCCCACCAAGGCAGAGGCCTCGTTTGGAACGATTTCTCCAGGTGCAATGGTAGCATAGGAAAGAGCGGGGAGAATGCCTACGCACAGTGGCCATTTCTCCCTGCCCGCTGCCACGGCGTGGGTCAGTGTGTGCTTGTGTGAGAGAGAGCGCCTACACGAAGATGTGCGGGGTTGGGGGTGGGAGGCTGTATCTGTGTCTTGTGAGAGCTTTGATGAATGCGTGTGCTTGCCTGTGTGTGCAGAGCATCCCTGAGCGCGTGCCTGCGACAGAGGTGACCTCACACCGCCTGCTTCTGCAGCCATCCAACAAGTGTGGAAGCGCAAGGGGGATAAAATTTGGTCCCCTCGGCCGCCTGCGGCTCTGACGATTTGAACGGGCCATTTAAGATGTCCGCTGTCACCCACCTGATGCCCCTTTGTCTCTGTTGTCGCGAGTCAGGATCCAGAGCTGACCAGAGGATTCTGTTTCCCGTCCCTCTACGCCCTCTGATGCCTCCCAGGCCGGGAGAACTGACTGTTCATCGCCCTTGCCCCGCCTCCGCTGCTCCTCCGCAGGTCCACCCACCCTCGGGTACGATCTGAGTCGGAGCTCGGTCTGTAACCTTCAGAAAAAGCACTGACTTCTGCAGTGGAAGGGAAGGAGGGAGCGTCACGCTGCACCAGCTCCGTCCTTCCCGTCTTTAAAAGGACAAATGAGACACCAGGCAGGCCCTGGACAGCGGCTGCCATCTCCGCGGACTCGCCTGGAGCCGCTGCACTGCCTCTTAGCTCTCGGCTTTGTGCTCAGCTCCCTGGAGTCCGGGTCCCCCACCCGTCACCCTGCGCGGGCCCAGAAAGGCAGAGGCGGGAGAGCCAAGCTCCTAGGAGCCCCAAGGGAAACCCTGCCCCCTCGTGGGCAATACACCCATCCCCAGACTTGCATTCAGGCCGACGGGAGAAATAGACGGCAGGAGAAGATGCGACCCATCTCTGCATCTCCGACTCCTACCCCCAACACCAAAGTGCTTGGCTAGAAGTTGAAAAGAACTCCTGAGCTCTCCTCGGGTCCGCCGTGGGTTCGCAATCCGAATTCGAGGGAGGCAGATAGGGCCGGCAAGGTTCATTCAGTGAAGGAATTGAGGAGGAAGGGAATCCACCTCAGGACCAGACCCTTCCCCTCCCCCCCCACCAGGGTTCCCTCAATTCCCAACGGTTCTTACGACGAATCCTGGCTCTACGCCCTTCGGACCCTGACCCAGTTCTGTGCTTTGGGAACCACCAAGACCCCGGAGGAAGCCACCGCCCTGTCCCGAGCCAGCCCTGCCTCGCTCCCCAGCGGTGAGAGAAGGTTCTCCAATTTTAGATTTCTTTGTTTTTTTAAATTTTTATTTTATTTTATTTATTTATGGCTGTGTTGGGTCTTCGTTTCTGTGCGAGGGCTTTCTCTAGTTGCGGCAAGTGGGGGCCAATCTTCATCGTGGGGCGCGGGCCTCTCACTATCGCGACCTCTCTTGCTGCAGAGCACAGGCTCCAGACGCAAAGGCTCAGTAATTGTGGCTCACGGGCCTAGTTGCTCTTCCCGGACCAGGGCTCGAACCCGTGTCCCCTGCGTTGGCAGGCAGATTTTAAACCACCGCGCCACCAGGGAAGCCCTCCACCTTTAGGTTTCTAAATGCTTCTTCCCTCCCTGCCACCCCTCACTCTCACCTCCCCGCCCAGTTGATAATGATTGCTTATCTCTAGTGCTTTACTTCCAAGTCCTCCATATTTCAAGTGACATTTCGATGGGTTTTTTCCCCCCCAAAACATAGAAGGATGCTATATCATAGGACATGTTTTGTTAAATGACAAACCCTACCCCAGGGACTAATATGTTCCCCACTTAGGGGCCTTGGAGGGAAGGAGGGAGTCAACCGGACTCCACGGGCACCAGTCAGGAAGTGGAGAGGATCCAGGCCTTTCCATTGGTGGGGAGCAGGGATCTCAAACGCAGGGCCAGAGACAGGCTTAGGTCAAGGAGGAGCAGGCTGGCTGGACTGGTACGTCCTCACTGGACACCTAGGGGTTAAGGGGGTGGAGCTGCTTTGACCCCGGGGAGCCAGCCTCGGGGGTCCTTCCCACTGCTCTTTATTTTTTCTTCTCCAAAATTACGAAAAAAAAAAAAAGTTCAAACATACAGAAAAGGTGAAAGAATTCCACAGCTTAACTTGAACAATTAACATTTTATGGTGCTGGATTACCTATCCTGTATCTATCCATCAATCCATTCAATAATCCATTTTTTAATGTAAATTTGAAGAATTGAAGACCTCAGTATATTTCCCTCCCAAATACTTAGGCAGGCAGGGTCGGTAAGCGTGACATTCAGATAAGCACAGGACCAGTAGTGGCACAATGCTCGGCCATATGGAGTCTGAGGCAAAAGGAAATAACAGCAATACAATCCTGTCTTTAAATTTTATTATCTGTTCATCGTGCTATTTTGAACACATGGTTTACTTTTGAATTTTGATTTTTAAAAAGACTGCATAAAATATGATCTTGATTATTGAATTTTTGGGCATCCTTTTATATTTTGCTCTCTAAACAAACGCTTCACTTTCTCACACTAGTCCCAGCTCTGGGTGTGAGGTTGGCCTTGGGAAATGAGTTCTACTCCCTGGAAGTTTGGATTGAGACTTTTCAAGAGTCTGGCTACAGCTGATGCTACAGAGATGCTGTGGGTGCCACCTCTGCCAGTTATGGGGTCCAGGAGGGGCCAGGCGAGGAGGGTCCTCTGGCCAGGGACACCCAGCAGGATGATCCAGCAGTGCTGAGGGCCCAGCCATATGAGCTTTCAGCAGCTCCCAGCAACCTTCTGCAGATGGGGTGAAAACAGGGCAGAGAGATTGAGGATGCAGAGGGAATGGTACAGACTCTAGATGGGAGAGGAAAGTACAGTCCGAACGGAGAGCACAATTAAAGGAATTGTTACCCAGTACCTGGCACAAGTTCTGGTAGGTGTACAGGATTTATTTATCAAATATTTGTTGAGCATCTACTATAGGCCACTGGACTAAGGACTGTTCTAGCCCCTAGGGATGCAGCAATAAACAAGATAGACATGGCCTCTGTGGTAGGGGTCAATGCCTTATCCTATGTCCTTAGGTGCATCTGAGTTCACCAGAAGTTGTGGACACTTCTCAGGAACCTGACAGCAAACCATGACAAAGTGCCTCTCTCCATCTGTCTCTCTCTCCTCTGCCCAAGGGCTTTCTAGAATACCTTGGAAGAACAACTTGAAATTGCTGGGGAGTTAAAAGCTCCCAAACACCCAGTCAATTGGCAATAAATGAATGGCTCCTGTTCTATATTGGGATTATTTGTGGTCTATTCCACAAGGTATCTCAGATGGTTCCCAGCAGGATTGAAACTCGTGTGTCCACAAGCTCATCAAAGCACCTTTTATTTGGCTTCCCCTCCCCTTCCCTGTCTCCCTTTCCCTACTACCTCACTTGTCCTTTCTGGGATCGCCTTCCAAATGATTAACTACACCTGAGTCCTTGTCGCAGTGTCTGCTTTCCAAGAAAGCTAAACTAAGACAGCTCCTGTATTCACAGTGCTTTTAATCTCGGACAGTGATTCCCAAATATACATCCTTAGACAGGTGCCAGGCAAGGTGAATAGAATCAAATAGGGAGGTTTTCGGAGATTCCTGTTCCCTGCCTTCACACCTAGATTCAGATTTTTAGGTTCCTGATGTGCCACTGGTTTGGGATCACTAATATAGAGAAAGTTAGGTCAATGGATTGACGGATGAACAAGTAGATGGATGTGGGTCAGTGGGTATGTGCTTTGAAGGCCAATGGTTGTGTAGATAAGCCATTGACTAATAGATGGATCAGTGGATGAAGGAAAGATGGATAGACAGAAGAATGGGTCAGGGGATGAACAGATGAAAAGGTGGATCAGTGGATGGATCAATAGGTGAAAGGAAGAAAAGAGGGAGGGATAAATGGGTCTATGGCAACAAACTTTAAGCACAGTAAGCTCCACAAGAGCGGGCATAGTCGCTGTT